AATGTCTGTCTGCCCGTCAGTGTGTGCGTCTGCATCTGATCAACGCTATCGTCTAAACCGTTAAGTCGATTTTCTTCCAAATTAATATTCCTCTATGAATTTAATGGAACTCTAGGCCCGGTTTCAAACGGATATTTTCATTTTTGGGGGTACTTACTTGAATCAACATTTTCTCAGACATTTTTCCACATTTTTGGATTAAACCTTGTCTTCGGATAGCGTAAACTGATTGCGTAAAATTCGTTCGGGTATATATCTCTTGCGTACGAGTTTTTCAAGTGATTGCTGAAGCGCTAGCGAAGTTGGAATATTATAATACTAGCGGATCCTACGACGCTTAACAGCATTATGTACGTTTCATTATCCCTAAAATCTCTAATTTTTCGAAAATTGCAAAGGTTCAAAATCTTTCGGCGTCTTCCTACTACTACACTTTGAAGATTGAGATTTTTTCCTTAATGAAGTATGTTTTTTAATGACATATCTTGGAATAAAATAATGTATAATTTTTCGAAAAATGAGTAGTTTTTACATAATTTGGGGAAAATTTATGAATACTTCATTTCTTTACTTTTTCGCCAGTCGAAGTACTTCGTAGAAAGGAAAAGTTTTGTAATCGTGCGTCGGAAAATTGCGAATTTTCGGCAGAAAATTATTTTCTTTAATATTTCTCCTCATATGAATCAAAGGACTTACAATTTACGCTAGTGCAATATTCATTATCTTAGGGTGTTTTATTTATTTTCCAGTAAAATATGATTCGTAAAGAAAAACGTTTTTGGGAAGATTAAGAAGTTTTAAAATTCATGATATGGCACCTCTTGTTTTAGGCTGCGCACGCCCATGCGGGTTTTTGCTTTTAAAATAAAATTAAGTAAAAATTAATTAATTTAGTATAAATATTTTTTTCTGTATTCTATTTAGCCATTTAACGAAGTGTAAAAGCTATTGGAAAGAATATCATGTTATGTGAAAGCCGATGGTCTGAGTGTGTAGATATCGTGAATTAGGCTGACGTACTTCTTATTGGGTCATTGGGGCTCTAAAATCAGCAAAGTGGTAACAAGAATTTAGTCTAGAAAACATTTTTAGATGCTATTTGATTGTTATATTACTGATATGTTGAGAATATAAACGATATGTGATTCAGTTTTGGGGGTTAATTTCATTCTTATATCTTAATTACATTCTCACATATATTAAGTTAACATTCGATCGTTTTCTTGGTTTTTAATTTGTAATCGTTGAATGTGTAAAATATCGTTTGCAATATTTTGATAAAAGGAAAATGATATTCGTGTTATTATTTCTTTATCACAAGACGCCTAGAGCGAGAATGGTGTTCATAAACAATTGAGGAGCATGGTCTAGGGCCTCCCTGTCGGAAAGCGGTGTCCCCCACACTCAGGCTCCCACTCTTCGCTGTACCGTGTGTTAGAAGGTATGAAATAAGGGAGAAAAAGGAAAATGTGGGAGAGACAGAAGAAAAGATGGCGAAAGAAGATGGAAAAGATGGCAGGAAAGGGGGCAAATTTAAGGAAAAAACTGCTTGAAGATTCGATTATTCTCAGGATTTAAAGCGGTTACTGAAAGAAAACGAGTGTTGACAGCTGTTTAAGTTGTTATTCTTGTAAATTTACATTTGGTGCGCACCTGCTGGGGCCTAGTTGTAGTTTGCCTCGCAAATGAAAATGTCTCCAGATCCCCATCGCGTTCGTGTTTGTTTGTTGTTGACTTTTTTTGAGTGTTGGATTACCCGAAAAATTTCCCGATTACAATAAAGAACAATGTAACGCGCTCTCAATAGATGATGGTAAAAAGGGACTTCGCGTTGAACACACTCGACCTGCGCGCCACGTGCGAGTGAGAATCTCTTCATCGCTAATAGACAAGAGCGTTAAACAAGAGAGGCGGGGCGGCGGGGCGGCGGGCGGCTGGGGCGGAGGCCAGAGCTGGCGGTAAGTGGCTGGGGCGGCAGGGGTGGGGTCAGTGGGGCGAGGCCGAGGCGGGACCTGGGCGGGAGGGAACGGGGACAAGGCAGCGGTGGGGCTTGTAAGGGTGGTGGAGTGGATAGGGTGGAGGGATGGTGATGTAGGGGTGGCGGGCGGGGATGGGCAGAGGCCGAGCGAGTTTTTCACTGCGAGGCTGGAGCGGGGCGGAGGAGGAACGCTGCGAGGGACATAAAGGCTGCGGGGGGGGGAGGCTAAGGTAGCGGGGGTGGCAGACACGGGGGAGGTGGGGGCGGGATCGGCGGCGGTCGGGGAGATGCTATCGCAGCAGCCGTCGGCGATGTTATCTTCGCCCGCCAATGGGCTAATGAGGCAACTGTGGCTGTCGCTGCGGCCGGTGGCGTTTATTACTCTCGCCGAGAGGGCGTGCGACAGCGGGGACGGCAGTCGGCGCCGCGCGTCGAGAGCAGCTCCGGGCAGTACCCACTGGAAGCGCAGGCTGGAGTGGTGAGCAGAGTGCGGCAGCGCGAGGGAAGGCAATACATCCGGGCAGACAGACATTTGGTTCCGACCGTTCTCGCCACCACAGCAGTGCGCTGAGAATTCTAGTTCCGGCCCTGGCATTATCGAGAGCGAGCGATATTTGATACTATTTTCCCCCAAAGTTGGCATTCCCCGATCGATTTAACAGAACTCGAGGCCCTACAAGTTTGAAACGGATATTTTGATATTATGGGGGTACTACACATCAAGCCTTAAATATATTTTCAACATTTTCTCAAAAATTACTCAAAATTAAATTTTTGGATTAAAGTTTGCCCTCGGATAACGTAAAGGGAGCTTAAATGGTGCATGTTTTATTTTCCTTGAACTTTCTGAATGTTCGAAAATTTGAATGTGTTGTAATAGCACCTCTAGTTTCCTGTGAAACGCGAAATGTCAATTAACATATTTTACCCAAACGACTCAATCTGTGGTGCTAATTTCCAATGGGCACAAAAATTGAATGTAAACTCTGCAGCCCCCGGCCATGTGAGCGGTGTCTATAGTTTCATTGGATACCTAGAATCTGGGGGGAAATTCATAAATATCTTCATTACTAATTTCGAAAGCGCACAGAAATTGGAAGCAAATTTTGCAGTCTTCGGCCACGTGAGGGGTGACTACGTTTTCTACCCTAGCTTCCCTGGAACTGAGAGAATAACCGGAAACAACAGTTTCGATGTAAACATAAAAATGCAAATCTTCGATTGCATTATTGTTATTTCCCAATATTGCGCTTACCGACTGAATTATCATACTCAGTCCATCATTGGTTACGGAACAGCTGACGTCATGTGTCAATGAATCTCCAATAAAGAGGACGTCTATGAATATGTACTGTTTACATTTTGCATTATTGAACCACCTTTTTTTTATAATCTTGGGATCTTCAGAAATATTGTACTGTATGTAAATATGATATACTATGTTATTGCAGTAGTTTTGAAAGCTGTTTTTTTTTAAAATATTCAATTTATTGCAGTGTTATAAGAGAGTATTTTATTCGTTATTGTGCGAGCTTAGTTTTGAAAAACCACTTTCTATGGTTTTGTTCAACAGCATTTCTTCTGTTGCAAGCCATTAGTTAAATAGATTTCCATTTATGCCACTCTCAAACAACTAATGAAGACCATATAAAATTTGAGCAAGTTTTTTGCAATCTGTACCACACTGAAAAGTTTCGTGTTTTCTTTTTTGCTGTTCAGGATTAGGGATTCAAATATTCTACACCTGCTCCGAATCATGCACTATATCTGTGGTCCCGACACCAACAGATGGAGGCAAACCTACGCAACACGAAGCAGGATAATGGAACGCAGCTTTGCACATGTGTTCATACAGAGCATATTATTTGAATTTCGCTCCCAGAAGTAGAAAAGAACTCGATATTTCTGGAACAAGAAAACTATCTTCGGAAAACGTCTTGCACCAGATGTCGTCAGAAAACAATAAGAGCCTACATGATTTTTGTCGGAATAATTAATGATCGTCTTGTGTATGAAAAAGAGTCCTGAGATTGTGACTTGTCGATCGATGCCGTGTTTGCTGCAGCGTTCCATGTAAGAATAGAGGAGTGTCCGGGACTAATAGCTCACCGTAACTTATTTCCTGAACTATTTACAGAGGGAACACCTTCCTGATACTGAATGAAACTTTAGATTACTACACCATGCTACGTCATTACATTATCATGGAATTTGTTTATCTTACCTCAATTGCGAAACTTATAGAGGTATACATGTTTGTGGATATGAAAGTGAGAATGAAAGAATTTCGGAGAAGTTGTGTTCTCAGCATACACAACACATATTGACATTTGAAAAGTACAACCGTAGGCATCCGTAGCCAAAGTCATGTGATGGGTCTCGGCAGACCGGGTGACGCCGCGTCGAGGGCATTGATGTCGACGTTTTGACCTTTCTATCGTGGTTTTCTTCAGGCATTCCAACCCTGAAGAAGACCACGGTAGGATTGATAGGAAACTTTGGCATCAACCACGATAGCCCTCATAACCATCATTGCCCTCGATCTGGGCTGTCCGGGTGACGCCGCGTCGATGGCTGAGATGCCGACGTTTCGACCAACATATCGCGGCCTTCTTCAGGGCAGTACAGCGGCGTCACCCGGATAGCCTAGATCATGACTCTGGCCACGGAAGCCTACGACATCATTTATTATTGCCCTGGTCGCGGCGTCACCCGGACAGCCGCGAGGCTTCATTTGAAAATAACTAACTAAATGAATGAGTATTATTATTATTATTATTATTATTATTATTATTTAGTAGCAGTAGTAGCTAGTAGATGTTGCAGCAACTTGCTGAATGACACCTGACAAGGCAGATTATAAATCCCGAAGACGAACCGGACTCCCAGGGAGTCAATGTTGCCTTCTAGAATTGTGGCTCAGTAACTCCGCGCCTCCCTTCGAAGGCAGCGGATTACTTCAGCGAAATTTATATATTCCACTGTTTCAACAGAAAGGCCCGCGTTTCTACCCGGAGCCGAGATGCGACTGGTGCTGGCGGCGTTGCGTGGGCGGGGCGTGGGCGATGCGTGGGCGGCGTCGAGCGCCGGGGCGACAGGGCGTGGCCGGCACCCTCCCGCCGTGGCCGCGCGCCTCGTCCTCGCGCTGCGCTCGCACTTCAGCACCGACTGCGTCTTCCTGGCGCGCGCACCGGGCCCCGTCGGTGAGCTTCTGGCGCCGCTGCCCGCCGAATACGTGCACTCTTACGTCCGCCCGCCGAATACGTGGCATTATGGTACTGTATTTCGCACCTTTCTCGGTCGTGCTGCTAGCAGTGGCGGACGGTGGGTTTAAAGCTTGGGGAGGCCCAGACAAATTATGGCAGGGAAATATAATGTGAAATTAAACGTCTATAACCTTTGGTTTACTGCTAACACTGATTTTGGCGACATTCCAAATAAAAAAAATAGATTTAATATTTTTCTTATTTTAGGATCTCTTTTCTAAAATGACACTTTCAATGCAGATTTTATTGTGTCCTCGGAAATACCGGGTCTGTCACGCAAAGGATCCACCGCATCCACAGAACACCCAGTGCCTATGACCGCAACATGCCTTCACAGGAGGCAGCCAGACTCGCGAAAACCTCCGTGCCAAACCAACTCCAAAACTGGACAACACGAAACTACTCTTTTCTTATTGGTTGAGGGACATTGTCATGTCAACGGGGAGACGCGCGCCAGCTTGGGCCGCCGGGCCTGGAGACACAAGCACTGCTTTAACTTGGTGGTGCTACATATGTGTAAGGTTTAGAACTGCTTGGCTCCATCTTGAATATTACCGCTATGTTTGCAGCAAGAGAAACGACTTCTTTTAAATGTTCACTCGCCAGACGTAAACATTTATGTCAATTTTAGACAAATTTAATTCCAACAATTCTTAAGTTAAACAAATATGAATCTTTTAGAGTTGTTAATAAATTTTGTGGGAAGGTCTGGCTTCCTTTGCCTCCTCCATTTTGTGCCACTTGTGCCGCCGCCATTTCTTGTCTGCCATGTCCCCTCTGAAAATACTGCACTAGCCGCTAGATGTCGTAAGACCGCGACCGCATCCAGCACCGCTATACGGTCGCGATCATGCGACATCCAGCCGGTCGACGGTGAAACACGCGAAAAATAGTGACATAACGCCACCGTGAAGTATGGCCTTGGGGGCACTTGAGGGGCATAGATCGCAGCATGGTACGCAGAGGTGGAAGCTTCGTGGGGTAGCGACTTCCTGGCGGGTCGCCTCTGAGGGAAGCTCTGTTTGCGTCGTGCGGTGCAGACCTGGAGGCGTCGTGGCATCTGCGCACCCTGGCGGCGGCACTGGCGGTGGCTGAGAGCGCAGGCGCGGGGGCGGTCGCGGGCGTGCCGTGGGCCTCCGCGTCGCTGCGCCCCGCCGCCCTCGCCGCCCTCACCAGACTGCGCTGCCGTCGCAACCGCCCGCTGCTCGTGGTCGCTCCCGACGCCAGCGGACGCCTCCTCCGCGCCTTGCAAAAGGTGAGCCCACTGCAAATGCAGTTCCACCTGCGCCTTCCCCTCCATGTTGTGCCGCCGTCATTTCCATCTGGCTTCATCTTAGCTCCATCTGGTATAATACCGCTATGTTTGCAACAAGAGAAACGACTTCTTTTAAATGTATACTCGCCAGTCATAAACATTTATATCAATTTTAGTCACAGTTAATTCTAAAAATTAGTAAGTTCAAGAAATATGTATCTTTTAGAGTTCTTAATAAATTTCGTGGGAAGGTCTAACCTCCTTTGCCTCCTCCATATTGTGCCACTTGTGCCGCCGCCATTTGCACCTCCACCGCACATTCATCTTCATTTCTAGTTTTGTTTGTGTTACAAGTCAGAACTTGACTTTAACAGTAGAGAATTTGACTCGTTAAAATGAAAAAATGGGAAGAATAAGAAAAATAAATCTAAATATTTTCAATGCACAAATTACGTGACACGAAATATATTTTATTAGAATTTATTCGTTATTCTCCATTTCTGCTCCCCTCTTCGCCTCCAACTCCGTTTCTTCTCACAACCTCTACCAAGCAAGTTCAGCGACTCACATAGTAAACTGCTCAGATGGAGCAAAGTACGAATATTCGGTATTGGGTTATGTTTGAGATAACGGACCTGAACTAACAGAGCGTGGCTGGCGGAACCGCAGGCTGACGGGCTGAAACTGCCGAATTAAAAACAATGGCTCACATGAAGGGGTAGGGGGTGAGCGTGCGGGATGCGAGTGGCGGTAGTGCGGGGTCGGCGTTCAGGGGGAGAGGGCGTGTGGAGTGAATGTGGCGAGGAAGGTCTCTCAGTGTGGGCGTGCGGGATTGGCGTTCGGCGTGGGGTGGGCGTGCGGGTTGAATTGAATTGAATTGATGCCTTATTTTACGTGGCGAGACTCAGGCCATGAGTCCTGCTCTTCCGTCTGACCACGCCAATTTCGCTACGCTCCTTTCACCAACTAGCAGGGAAAGGAGGTATTTCTTGGGCGAGAAACAGGCGATTTGGATTTAGCTCAGAGGCGTCATTTGGGCTTGAGGATGTTTTACATGCAAGTAAATCTTCTAACATGGGACAACCGGCTTTACTTCCCCTCCGAAGGAAGGCGTACGAAGGTTTTTTTTCGCCCTTAAAAATCCACGGCTTTGATCGAGTTTGAACCCGCCGACTTGGGTATTACAGTCCGATACGCTAACCCCGCCGCGCGCCGGGTTGGGTGAGCGTTTAGACGTGGCGTGGCGTGCGCAGGTGCTGGCGGGCGGGCGCGGTGCGTGGGACGAGGCGCGCTGCTGGCCGCGTTGGCTGCTGCTGGCGCCGCCAGCCGCGCCGCCCGCTGTGCCGCTCGACTGCGAGGTGCTGGCGCTCGCGGCCCCCGACGCCGACGCCGACGCCGACGCCGACGGCGCCGAGGCGCCCCTGCGCCTGCTGGAGGCCCCCGCGGGGGCGCCCGAGAGCCAGGTGCGAACGCACGCCTCTCGCTCCCAGCACCTGCGCCCACCGCACGTGAATCGCACCGGGAGAGACGACTCAGGGCGTCAACTGCACTCACCGCACTCACCGGGAGAGATGGCTCAGGGCCACTGCAGTCACTCTGACCTCTAGGTTCGAGCAATTTTGCATCTGCTGCAGCAGTATTTAAAGGAACGTTTTTTATGGCTCAAAATTTTGGTTAATAGAAAATTTATTTCCAGAGACACTTGGAGATACCGATTTACGGATTTTGGAGACCATTTCACAGACGTTATGTTATATTGTCACATTATGCAACACCTCTGCATGCATGGACCTCTCCGGAAGGTGGTTGTGCGCTCTGGTTAAAGATTGCACTTGCGCCGTGTAAAGAGCTTATCTCACGGTACGAGTGTGGAAATTGATAAATCATCAAAATATGGTATTCCTGTGGTCACATATTTCTGTGGACACGGGCTAAAAGTTCTTAAGTCAATTTTTTGACGAAACGTTTCAAGTACTGAAACTACAAATTAAGTATCTATATTTTATTGAAGTAAAGCGACCGAATTCAAAGGTTGCCGCCTTCGCAAGAAAACTATGTTGGGAAATAAGCTTCATACCACTCGTCAACAGCGGCTCAATGATCTAACCCATGTTTTCTCCAAACAAAGATTTTTGACTTAAGAAATTTTACCCCGTGACCACAGGTTTCTGTGATATTCAAGAGTTAGGTGCAAAAGTGAAAGCGTTATTTGAAATTTCCAAGCCAGCCAAACAGACGATAGCATGTGTTTCCTACCATGCGACCACAAATTTTAACACACACTTAAGCTAAAAGTGATCAGTAATATTCATCTTCATCCTACAGGCCAAAAAGTGCCTTGTCTCTGCCGCCATGACATTCTGGCTCCGCTGTCGTTTTCAGATCTGCATAAATCAGTAATATTATATATTTTAAATTGCACAAAATTGTGTTCAAGAGTCTATGAATTTCACTAGTCATTCTTTTTACTATAACTGATTATTTTTTACACATTTTAGATGATTCCTCTTGGTGTATTCCGTGAATTTGAGAATTATAACTAGTGGCGCTATTGAATGACGCAGCTTTCTCTACTAGCAAGTTTTCAAATTTCTTTGGACTTGGTTGCGGACCTTTTCGATCTAGACACTTTCGTTTGCCAGCTGCCATCCATCGCCGTCCAAAGTATTTTTTTTTATTTTATCAGTTTTTCGGTTTCCTATTCGTAGAATTGAAATATTACTTCAAGAATATTAAAGAAGAGTAAAATCTTGCGTCCTCTATATCCAACAATCATATAAAAAAGAGTAAATCTAGGTACGTCCTCTATATCCAACAATAAGTGTAGGGAGGTTTGAAAACATGCAACAGAAATTGCAAAAATGATTTGTACTAGTTTATATTGATGTAGATACGTGTTAATGATGTATATATTATTTTGTACTGTAGAATGTGTGGTTTAACAGGAAAGCTTTCAGTTTATTTTTGAATGTGTGTATCAAGTTTAAGCTTTTAAATTTGCTAGGAAGTTTATTGTATAGTGTAATGCCTTCTATAAGGGTACTTTTTTGAAAGAGTGAAGTTTCACTGTGTGGAACATGCGTTTTATTTTTTTTATTTTATTTTATTTTGCTAGTTTCATAGTTATGAACTTCTGTGTTCAGAGTAACAGAATCCTTGTTTCCCATAAGTGTCTTCTTTGGGAAGATTAATAGTTCAAATATGTGTACAGTGGTTTGCAGGACTCATGTTTGTGTTTGTCATTGTTCTCAATATTCATTTTTGGAAGATGAAAGTGTGAATACTTTCTTGAGAATTTCCCCAGAATATTATTCTGTATCTAAGTACACCATTTGCAGTGTATCTAAGTTAGAATTTGACTTCAGGATGTATATGGCTTAACATGGCTTAGTAAGCTTGTGGTTTATATCTGTGATATGGGAGTTCCATTTTAGATCATCTTGAATAGGCAATCCAAGGAAAGTTGTTTTTGGGGCTATTTTTACAGGCATGTTTTTATCATCAATTATGTTGGAGGCTTTAGACAGTGGATTCCGAAAGTTTAGGGAGACAGCATATTGGTGTTTATGATGAGTTTATTTTCCTGGAACCATTTTACTAGTGCCTCAAGCCTGTTTGTGCTTCTTTTTGTAGAGTTTGTTGGGTATGTGCTTTAATAATAATGTTTGTGTCATCTGCAAATAGGACCATTTTGCTCTTTTGTAAGGTCAAGGGCATGGCATTGATGTATAATAGAAATAGTATGGGGCCTAGGATTGATCCTTGTGGCCCTCCATAATTTATCATTGGAAAAATGGGTAGATACATCTAGGTTGGGAAAAATGGGTAGAAATCTCTAACATGCTTGATTGTGACTACTTAACAACGATTTGAGAGGTAAGATTTAACCCATTGATGTGCAATGCCTCTAATTCCCAAAGTTTCAAGTTTGGATAACAGTATGTGCTGATCAATAATGTCGAATGTCTTTGATAAATCTAGAAACAAACCGATGGGGATTTCTTTCTGATCTAGAGCAACAAGTATGTCATTAAAAAGGTGAAGATAGCTGTGTCTGTAGATCTACCATTTCTGTATCCATGATGGGCCTCTGTCAATATGTTATATGAATTGAGAAAATTGTTGTCTTATCATTAAAAAGCGCTCAATTTTTGAGAATCCAGATAGTAAGGATATCGATCATTAATATATGAGATCGTGAGTGTGGCCTTTTTTGAATAGTGGCTTAACTTGTGCTTTTTTGAGAATTTCTGGGAAGATATGTCATTAAGAAGTGGTTACAAAGGTGAGTGAGCGATTCTATTATGTTTGTTGCAGTATGTTTAATGAAGGTGTCAGGGATATTACCCAGTCTTGTAGAGAATTTGTTTTTCATTTCATTTATGATTTTTTGTATATCTGCAGGTGATGTTTCATAGATATATAAGGAGTTTACATTTGTTGATGTATGGATATTTGACTGCATAATTACATTATTTAAGAAGTTGTCATGATTTATTTTTTCTGAGAAATATCTATTGAATGTGTTTGCTACTGCTTGTGAGTTGCGCAGAACATTATTTTTGTAGTGAAGTTCAATGTTCTTAGTGTTTCTGTTTTTAGCGTATTTTTCACACTGTTCCACATTGCTTTTTTTTTGTGCTTGTGTAATACATTGATCATTCATTAACAGTTTGGCCTGTTTAATTACTTTCTTCAAGATACTTTTGTATGTTTTGTAATAAGCAATGAAATCAGAGCTACATTCATGGTGAAGGTTTGTTTCATGCATGATTCATTTCCTTTCACATGAGTTTTGATTTCTTTTGTTATCCATAATTTAGGGTTTGTGCTTTTTATTTTTTCAGTGTTTGTGGGAAAACGGTGTTGAAGTAACTTTGGAATATGTTTATGAATAAGTTAAGTTTGGTATTTGTGACTTGTTTCGTACACCTCCTCACAGTTTTCTGAACTCATTAAAGAGTTAAATTTGTCTAAGTTTTCCTGAGAGAAGTTTCGGC